TTGTGTATGAGTGCTGGAGGATATTTTGTTCCACCTTTTCTAATCTTCCCTAGAAAAAATACCAATGTTCTACTGGGAAAGCGTGCTCCTCCTGGGACAAAAATTGTTTGTCATCCAAGCGGGTGGATTCAAACCAACATTTTTACTCAGTGGTTTCTACATTTTATTGAAAAGGTGAAACCATCACAGAACGATCCTGTGTTGCTAGTTTTGGACGGACACCATACGCATTGCCGCAATTTGGAAATGGTAAAGTTGGCAAGGCATAATTTTGTTGAAATAGTGTGCTTGTTCCCTCATTCTACACACCACATGCAACCTTTAGATAAAACGTTAATGGGACCTTTGAAAGCCCATTATAGTAAGGAGTTGAGATTATTTTTGAGATCGAATCAAAGGGCAGTCACACATTTTGACATAGCTGAACTATTTGGAAAGGCGTATCTAAAGGTGCAAACTGGGGCAATTGCCGTTAACGATTTTAGAAAAACAGGAATATTTCCTCCAAATCGTCATGTCTTCAGAGACAGCGATTTCCTTGCTGCAGCACAAGAAAATATTGAGGAAGGGGAAGCCACAGCAGACAAAAATATTGCTGAAAATACTGTAGCAGCAAGGGAATTTATTGGACCCGAAAATATTTTACCGGTGCCAACTTTTAAAGAAAAGAAAGGGCCTCGAAGAGGAAGGGCACCTGGAAAGGCAGCAATTATAACCTCATCTCCATATAAAGATGATTTAGAAACTTTAATAAATGCAGTCTCTTCAAAAGAAGCTAAAACAGTGAAGCGCAAAGTGTTAGCGGAATGATCAGTTGACCTAAATCGACCATCCTGTAGTAACATCCATTTGCGCAAAACCAGTGCTTAAAAGAAGAAGGCGATTATTCAAGATTCTTCTTCAGAATCAGAGTCCGCGAGTTTCAAAGACAATTCTTCTGAGGAGGATGACATGGAGGACATTGGAGCAGACAAACCACAGGAAGATGACGCTACTTGTTTCTATTGCAATGGAAAGTTTTTGGATGATAGAAAGGGGAGAAGTGGATAGAATGCGTTGTCTGCAAAGAGTGGAGCCATATCGATTGTTCGGAATGTGAAACTGATATTTTCATTTGTGAATTTTGTAAAGAACATTAGTTTGTTTTGCCAATATGCATTTCATTAAAAAATACATTACCTTTATTTTATTTTTTATAGGTAGGTTTACTTTTACTTGTTCAAGGTCTAAACTAAATTAAACTTCGTTTCTTAAAGGAATTCATATATGTTTAATAAAGTTAAAAAATGTTTTGAAATTTATATTGTTTTATTCTTACCCTATTCCATATTATGTACATATTCAATATTAGGTACAAAATTCCCCTTTTTCAAAGATTATTTTTTGAGGATGCCGGTATACAAATGTTCTCGTTTCTAATATCAAAACCCGATAAATAAAATACTAATGTATGTTTATGAATATAAGTAGAAACTTCTTTAAAAAAAACCAAAAAATACAAGGCAAAAACAAAATGGTATTCCGTATTTGGTACTTCTCCTCTACCCTCTAAAACAGTCTGGTGGAATAAACGCCTAGATTGCCTGAGAGGCGAGGTGCGAAGGTTATTCAACCTAGCCAAATCCAAATTCTATAACCATCAAATATCAAAGCGACAACATTAGACCAAAGAGATAACTTTGCATGCCAAAATTCACTAAAATTCACATTTTCGCGAGTACGAAGCAGAATATACTAAACTGTAAAAAGTAAAAAATTTTCAAATCAATAAAATATAAACAAAGTGTACCAATTTATTAACATAAATTGAAAACTAAAAAAATTTCAAGCAGCAGCAGATAATTTTAAAACATTCAATTAAGTAAAACAGCTTATTAACCATCCGTTCAAGAAATTTTACAAATGACTGCTAGTGTTCTGCTAGAATTATGTTTCACTGTCCATATTAAACCGTACTCATAAAATATTTCACATTATGGAAACCATATAAATGGTTGAAAAGGGACAAATCACTTAGTAAATATATCAACGTTAGTCCCAATTCGGTTGCCGAGATCCCGCTAAAGCCTTTTATGCCCTTACAAGCTACACTTCGTGGCAGAACTGGAGTATACATATATATCCAGCAGTAGACGAAAATATACAACGACTGAATGTCAACAAATGGAAGTTGCTGTTCCTATAGGATTATCGGACTCTGCGAAAAGCATGAAGAAACAAGCCAATTTTATACCCGCCCTGGATGTCGGGAACTTTATACCGCATAGTTGTATTTTCGTTTTATTATTTTTGTTTCATAGACAATAGAACCGAGATCTTAATACTAGACAAACAAAACATATCTTCGAGTTGAAAGGGTTGAAAAGAATTGCTTTGGAATAACGATTCACTTCCTAGATGCTAAGCGGAAACGGGTTGATACGGGGATTTTCTGAAAGTTGACTCATATTTTACATAATTTTTTTATAATTCATACAGCTTTTAAACGTAGTGCTAGAAGTAAACGGGATATATGTGTACTCCATAAATAATTAATGCAGTTTTATATTTTTGAAAATTTTTAGGAACATATTTATGGAATCGTTTTGAAATTTTTTTTTTTTAGAATGGGATGCAGCAGGTAATCGTTTTTGATAAATAACTGATATACGAAAATTGTCACAAAAATTAAATAAATTTTTAAATTTTCTATGAATTCACGACTAGAGTCTCATGTGCTCATTTGGTTTTCTAATTGGATTAATACAATTACGGTAAGTAAATAGTTTAGTATGAACATATCTAAGAGCTAGTCAAAATTAAATATAATTAATTAACAAAGGTAATTAAAAGTTAATTATTACTAATTGACCCTACATATTACAATATCTCTTCCTAAATTATTCTTGAATCGTACATTTCTCAGCTTTTTCTACAGCTACTTGCATTCAAGTTTACTGTCGGACATACTTGTTAATATATTAGGAACAATTTTACAATTTTATTTAAAATGTTGCATATATGGTATATGTGGTATTGCCAAACAATACATATATTATTTGATATCTATCTAAAATTACTAATAGTTTATAGAGTAAAATCGTATACACACCTTGGGCGAACTAATTATAGCGTCGCATCTGTAGCTTCACACCTCGCTAATCTACCTTAACACTCGGCTGTAATAAAGTACCTCCATACTCGGTATCTAATATTATTTCATTGTTTATTTGCAATTCTTTTATTTGTAAAATATATCCGCCTTAAATGATAACACCTTTTTATCCGTGCTAACTAATTTTGGGGCACATGGAAAAGTTATACAGTATCCTCTCTAGCCGCGCTTTTCCAACCAGAAATGTTTGCTACAGAATTAGGTGCGAAGGAGTTTAATTAATGTTCTCCTCGCTAACAAGATTATAAAGAACTTCTCGGATAGCCAGGTAGCCCTTAAGGCATTAAGCTCCATTAAAGTTGACTCAAAACTGAATTGAAACTATATAAATACCCTTGAGTATCTCGATGTTACTTTGATCTGAGTTCCTTGACACAGCGGTGTGCAAGGCAATAAAAAAGCTGACCTTAGTTCATATGACGAGAACCTTGCCTGGGTACTGCAAAGAACACTGCCAAAGTAGCTTAAAATGGATATAGGGTGTAAAACGAACTGAAAAGATATCCCTGGAGTAATTCATGCGCAGACGTTTATATCCAACCGGTGCATGATGAACGCCTCTATTCTGATCCGGTTATGGGTCCACTCATTCTCATGGAACTGATGACAGGACTTTGTCGTATAGTTTACCACAGAAAAAGTACAGATCTGCAACAAGCATCAGGCTCTTAATTTTGCAGCGTGGAAGACGAATCCGCAAATAACATTCCATGTACCTGCTTTACATTGGAACGAATTAGGTTCCAGTTGTTCGGATTTTCCCGACTGCAATCTAGCGACTCTAAAGAGGTCTCACCCAATTTAACCGTGGCCTTCATCAAATGGAGTAGCTTGTACTGTGTAATAAAAGTCAGACATGAGCCACAATAGATCCATTTGTGTTGCAGTGAAAAGTGGTGAGATTCTCCCACTTGTTTTCAACCTAACCTAACTAATTTGGGGTGCATTTAGAATACTTTCGTTTTGTTTTTCGATATTTATGACCATTTATTGCTTATATCCACAATACTGTAATCCGTGAAGTACGAAATTCACTCACTTATTCTCTCTCTGTCTTTTGCTCTTCTTACCAATCTTTATGCTCCATTTTAGTTAAAAAATCTTGGTTTCCAACATTTTGGGAGATTAAGAAAAAACGTTCCTTATGTTCACATTTGGCTAAATCACTGTACCTAAATACTTACGTGCGAAGTATGTGAGTATTAAAAAATGCAATGTATTTCAGGCTTAGAGATACGTCCAACCAAAAAGGAACTAGAGTTTAAAAACCAGTTAAATATGGCTCTGAAGCCAAAATCTAGCAGACTGTATACCATAAATTAAAATTACATGTTGCAGTGTGATTCCTATAATTACCTTCCTTGTATTTTTGCGTCACTGATAGTATAATTTGAGGTTTGACGATTTAATTTAAAAGTTTACACACTACTATAATAAAAATGAATATCACAAGAAACGTTTATCATAAACACTTATTAGGTAACCTCGTTTAAATACCGCAATCAGAAATTGCATAGTAGCACGGCATGGATGCTTCGGGTTTCTTATACGTTTAGAATGGCCTGTCTTTTCTTTTGCCAACAAACTGGCTTGATGAGACGAACTGATGTTCTGCCAGAAATACTTGGTGTATTCTACTGCAGCGAACCGGCTTAAGTGATACAAATTGTGATTAAATTTACTGTACAATTGTTTGTTACACCCGGTTTTCTAATTCTCTAAAATCCGTCTTATTTACACAAATAGGTAATTTCTTTAGAAAAACTTCGCTGTCAGAGATGGTGTTAAAAAAATATTTTTTATCCGATAGAGCTTTTAAACTTTTTATTATCAAACAATAATTACGTAAAATTGCTTCTATGTATAATTTCAATATATTTTCTGTAATTTTCTGGTGGTGAAGCGTGAGTGTTTATTGGCATATAAATGGTTTACAAAAAAGGGGTAAATTTAAATGGGAACCCATATAATATTAAATACAATCGATTTACCATTTACTTTTAAACATATTTTTAAATTTCACCTACTTCCGAAAATGAATATTTCCTAAACGGACATACGGATATGTCCGGTGCGACAGAAAAACATGTTTAAAAATAGTTTTCTTAATATTATTCAACTTTTCAAAAAACCGTCTATTTCTTTGCATTCTGTTGTCAAAGCAGGTATATCTAGTGTAACATCTCTAAGACGCTTGACAACCTCGTCCAATGGACAATCCAAATCGCATCCCCTTATACTAATCTGCTTAGTTTCTTCGCCATCTTTGCTATGAACATTCACAACAAGTTTGTCATCTTTTCTATGTAGTTCCATCCAAATAGAACTCGCGAATTCTGGAGGATACGGTGGTTCAAAAACTTCAAAACTGTTAAGAATTGATGCTATATTACTATCGTGACCGCTGTACATATGGTAACGGGGTAATCCAGAGTTACTTGTCATGAGATTAAATTGAGTTAGAACTTCGTGAAAGAAAACTCCAGCATCTGAAAATAAAAATATGTTAACAACTAATTTAACCTCACTGAAAGCACTGGAAGGAATTAGAGGATAACTGGAATAATGGAAATAAATCTGCCTACCACCTTCTTAAGAGTAAAACCTATAAGTAAAGTCAAACAGAGATCCTAGGGAAGAAAGATATCTCTTATAAATATGGTGTTCCGGGGTAATTTACAGATTATTGATGTTATAATTACCTGCAGATGAGAACAGCTCGAAAAACCTCACAATGTCAATTTGATCCACACCACCCATACAATCTTACTACGAACTATATTAATTAAAAGAAAAATTAATATAGGCTTATTAATAATTCGCACCAATTTGTTAATTTTTAAACCGAAAGATCATCTAAAGATCACTCTAGAAAGTTGGAATAAATATAGATAATTATAAATTTGCATGAACCTGGTCGAATTTTTTAATATGTATAGCTTCAGAAGAGGTCTGCAAATACAGGATTTTAAGAAAGGATATTGAGATAGTCTAGAAAGACGTTAGTTATAGAAGTTCTAAATTGGTTAATAAAACTAGATAAAATATGGCTAGAAAACTAAACATACAGTTTGGAACATCAAAGGTAAACCATAGAAGAGGCTACCGACGCTACCAACGCTATCAACTCATGTGGTTAAATTAGGTTGAAATCATATTGATTTCTACTGCGATCCAGATGGATCTATTGCGCCTCATTTTTGTTATAATTTACCGTACATGGTGAGACAAAAGAGCCTTAGGTATAAGAGTTTTATGTACCTAATTTCTACTAAATCTAACCAAGTAGACACCAGACTGTGTTCTTGGGATGTCCTCAACTGATAACAATAATTATCCAGAATCAGAAACTCATGAAAACAATTGAAAGAGCTATATAGCAAGAAATGCAGGTTATATAAGAACATGTATGTATATTTAAATAATCTTAAAAATTATGGAAAAAATATTTAATATAGGTTATAATCGGGGTAAAGTAGTAAACAAAAAAAAGTCAAACTTACACAGCCTCTTCATTTGTGTGGTATGCGAAAGAATTTTAAAATATATTCCAGAAAGGTTCCTTAGTGGATACGGGTAAACTTCAGATGTCCAAGATGGAAGAGAGAGGCCCCTGTTGTCTTCTATTTTCAAAATATCATAAATTTGATGAGCATCCAATAAGGTAGCTACATGTTGACCAGTATGTTTACTCAAATACTCATAGAGATTTGAATACTTCTTATTAGTAGCAACTATTTCTTTACTTTGAAATAGTTGGATTAATAATTTCCAGTAGTTTGAACAAAAAGGACTATCCTTAAATACTTCTGGTAAAGCGTGATCAATGGGAATGGGCTCCCACATTAAGTCTACTTTCCACTGTTGTTCTTTAAATGTTGGAAAGATTCCAAATACATTGACTAGTGCAGACATTTCAGCTCTCTCGATATCCGTTGAATAGCCCACGAAATCAGATTTGTTATAAGCAGCTGGCAGAAAATCGGCGTACATATTCCTAGTTAGTTTTCCTAAGGCGTATTGTTGCCGTTTACCTTCCTAAAATATGCATGGTGTAGTGTTGGTATAAAATTGGACTATTGTCAGAAATCTATAGCTAGGTACTTGGTATTGTTATAATAGCAAAGACAAGCAAAAATTAAATTTAAAATAAAATAGATGCTGATCCGTTTAAACAAACCTACCTTTATAGATTGATCAGTTTAAAGTATAGAAAAACCAAGTTAATATAAATGTCTTGGAAATTTTCAAATACATTTTTGTAAATTACTGCTACGAAATAATAACTATGTTTCTTATTCACAATGTAAAAACAAATTAATTAAAAATATTAAAAAATTATGTCACAGAATAGGAGTAGAACGCTCTTCATCCGCGTTCTTCAGGTCATTACTCCTAAGTTTTTAAATATCCTGTATATTTAAAAATAAATTGTTTTATTATGTTCCTTGAAAATACACGCTCTTTTCATAAATTATATAATACAGGATGGTCCACCGGTAACGCCTCGGTCTGTATATCCAAAACTAAACTTTTTTAAAAAATCGGTTTTTTCGGTGAGATGTATATTAAAAAAGGCAACAATTTAAAAATGCTTTCAATAATACAGGGTGCTCCAGGAAATTGGAATATATCAAAGTTAGGTTTTTTAATCAGGACACCCTATATTTTATTGAATTTTTGAAATCTATAAAGAAAATAAGTGTAACTATGTTAAGGGGTTGTTATACCTAGAGTCTATCATTTTTGATATATTCTAGGATTTTCAAAATTTTCGGGTGTTTAAAAAATGCAAATAATCCTACATTTCTTAATATTTCAAATTTATTTTTTTAAGCTACATTAAGCGTCTTCTGGCTATAACCTCAAATACTTACTGATCAAAAATATTATATAGGGTGTTTACGAAATACTATTTATTATACGTAGATTTAAACATTAAAAACTTCGTTATTTTAAATAAAACACCAAATATATTTTAACGTTATTTGAAGTATCTTTCGAAACCCTTTCAAACGATGTAGGTATTCCCTATACCTATCTGTGATAGTTTTACTAACATTGTTACATTTTTTTTTTTGAAACACGAATTACAAAATAATACAAGATAATAAATTAATTTAATAGATGTTCAAAATGATGACCGTCTTCTTGAATACACATAGTGATCCTTCGTTCAAACGAATTTCTTACTCTTTTTAGCATATCCGGCGTAATAGTTTCAAATGCATTCTTAATTCGTTCCTTCATATCTTCTGGCGTGGTTGCTGGGGTATTGTATGCAAGACTTTTTATGTAATCCCATAAAAAAAGTCTGGGGGTGTTAAACAGGGTGATCTAGGTGGCCAATGGCATGGGCCTCCTCTTCCTATCCATTTATTAGGAAATTTCCGGTCTAAGTAATTTCTCACGTCCCGCGCAAAATGAGAAGGAGCACCGTCTAATTGTAGCCATATTTGTTGTGGTATATCTTCGAGAAGTAGCCAAAAATCTGAACGAAGGAACCTCAAAAAATTATTTCCATTTAGATGCCTATTAAAAAAATATGGGCCTATAACTTTCTCTCCAATAATCCCCCCATAAACATTTATGCTCCATCTGTTTTGTCGGTCAATAGTTCTAAATAGGTGCCGATTTTCTGTATCACAGTAATGGAAATTATTGCGATTTACTAAGCCATTGTTATGGAAAGTGGATTCGTCTGTAAATAAGACAAAATCGAAAAAGTCTCTATTTTCTCCTACCTGTTCTAGCGCCCATAAACTAAAATCTATGCGTCGTTGATATGGTAAGGGTGGAATCGGTGTTTCTTGAAAATTCTCATTACACTGGTTGTAGGTATATCCATTTGCCTCGAAATTTTCCTGGTGCCTATGTGAGGAATCTTCGTTACTGAACCTAATACTAGAAATTCGTTGTCTTCATTATCAACTACGGGTTTACTCACAGTTTGTTTTGAATATGCAACACTGCCTGTTGTACGAAAACGTTCTAAAACTCTTTCAAAAGTTCTCTTATCCGGTTGATTTCTATCTGGATACTTTTGGGCATAAATCCGTGTTGCTAAAAAACAGTTTTCATAACACACATCTATGTTGAGAATCATATCCACCATTTCTTGCATATAATATTGCTTCATTTTAATAATAACATTGCACAAAACACAAAATAATACCTATTGGAAACAGTTTAAATTAAAATTACATAAATTGATAATCAATGCCCAGACACCTTGATTAAATAAATTTAATGAATTGTTTACATAAATTATAAGAACTAGACTATTCTCTAAAACAACAACATATAGGTACAGGGAATACCTATGTATATTGTTTGAAAGGGTTTCAAAAGATATTTCTAATAATGTTAAAATATACTGGGTGTTCTATTTAAATTAACGAAGTTTTTGGTGTTTAAATCTACGTAAAATAAATATCTATTTCGTAAAGACCCTATACGATATTTTTGATCAGTAAGAATTTGAGGTTACAGCCCAGAAGACTCTTAATGTACCTAAAAAAAATCACTTTGAAATATTAAGAAATGTAGGATATATTTGCAGTTTTTAAACACCCCAAAATTTTGAAAATCGTCGAATATATCAAAAATGATAGACTCTAGGTATAACAACCCCTTAACAAAGTTACACTAATTTTCTTTGTAGATTTCAAAAATGCAATAAAATATAGGGTGTCCCGATTAAAAAAACCTAACTTTGATATATTCCAATTTCCTGGAGCACCCTGTATTATTGAAATTATTTTTAAATTGTTGCCTTTTCTGATATACATCTCACCGTAAAAACCGATTTTTTAAAAAAAGTTTAGTTTTGGATATACAGACCGAGGCGTTACCGGTGAACCACCCTGTATATTCAAATTATTTTTATTTACTTACATTAGTCAATTGTCCCAAATTTAGTCCTTCGAAATATTTATTTAGATCCGCATAAGGATCGTTTGTATAAAAACTTATTGGTGTTCTCTGTCCATGCCTAAAGACCTAAAATAGAAAATTGATCAAGGAGTTTATCAAAAAGAGATTATTTATATCAAATATAAATTTGCTAAAAAAGTACTATGTATTTCGTTTGACAGAAAAACGGAAAGGCTGCCAGTATATTTATGTCAGTATGTCTAGTATAATAAATTTGGTCTGAATCTAGTACAATATAATAATGTGAAATACAAAAAGTCACTTGTTTATTAATAATTGAATTATATCATTATTAAACTAAAACTCAAGTTATCAAAAACTCAAAATTTTCATCTTGAGTTCTTGATAGAAAAGAAGTCTACTTTTATTTTCCTAACTTGGTTAATTTTAAATTTTAATTATGATTAAAAAAATACTATGGCTCATATATGTAAACAGTGTGTATTGCGCTTTTAAATTATATGTCAAATAAATATAAATTCAAATTTTTCAAATTAATTCGTTACTAAAATAACACCAACTAACACAATTTGTGGATTTGTTTTAAGTCTCGATAAAAAGATTAATAATTTTATCATTATTATTCTTAGTCTAATAACAATAAACTATAGAAAATTAATAAACATAATCTTGATAGGTTAGGTGGGATGATCTCATCGCCTTACACTGCGACCTAGATAAATATAATATGGCTCATGTCTAACTTATAGAAGCCACACCTTTTAATAAAGGCCATGTTTATTTTGGGTGAGTTTTGTTCAATGACATATATAGATTAATAGACTGCTCATCCATATATAAACAAGACGACGAAAAGCGGGTCATATTGCTTGGCTTGCCGAGTGCTCACCAGGCAGAATCGGTCTGGCCCAAATGAGTTTAAAACACATATTTCATCAAAGTAGGAATTGAATTAAAAAAAAAATATATCTGTATGTTTATTTCAAGACAGGAGCTTGCGTTAGGTATTTTAAAAAAGGATTTTTAGTCGTAACGTCTAGTTTCCCAATTTTCAAAACATTTTAAGAGATCTAACCAATTTTGAACATAGATATAAACAATTTTACACTCATGTGTATATAACTAACTTTAGACCATGACTACTGTATAGTGGCACTATTCGGACACTTGATTATTCTTTTAAAATTTATTTCGCATTATAAAAGCAGATATTATGCAAAAATTGAATGAACTTTTTAAAGATTTAAAGTTAGTAGCTTTTTCACATTCTAAAGTTTGTCCCTTTAGACAATTAAGGATTATTTTGGCGGTGAATGTGAATGATTTGATGAAAAATAATAAAATTCCACCAGTGGAAATCTGATCATAGTAAAATTGACTAGGTACAAAGTTCATTCTTAGTTGACGTTAAGATCCGTGTACCTTAGCATCGGTAAGAGGGAAATAAAGATTCTGACTTACAATCACAAAAAGAACGTACAACTAAGCTTAGTCGATGTAAGTTAGCTCAGATTAGTGGTAAAAAGAAAGCGACTATTAATAAAAAGAAAAGTAATCCAGCTAAAACAAGAATTATGGCTACTGTCTTTAATAATGATATGTTGCCAGTACTAGTAGAATGTTAAGTGTTGAGTTATCTTCTTCAGGCAATGGATGTACGTATGCATAATTTAAAATGTTTGGTTAATTATTATTATGTTTAATGTGTTTTTCCAGTTAATGAATATATATCTACTTCTGAAGCAGATAATGAAGATTTGTGTGCTGCTGAATAGCTTTGCTTAATTCACAAAACTTTGTTTAAAAGCAGAAAATTGGGATCGATTGTTCAACACAAGTGAAGAGTGGTGATTTAGTTGATCCGTTTTCAAACAGAATTGTTAGTGCTAAAGAACTATCTACTTTAATAGGATTGCAATCCTTCCAGTTATAAGCCACCATTGTGGAATTAGTAGCAGAGTTGTTTCTAAAGAATAGGAAAAAGGAGATCAGTTATGTCTGTAAAGGATCAAGTTATATTTACTTTTATGAAGTTGAAAACTTATATGCAAGATATAATGTCTTATTCATTTTATTTGGAGTAAATGAAACTTTTTATCGTTAAATTTTTTAACAGTTTTTAATAAAACTGGTAGATGTTCTTGGTATGGTATAATTCGGCCTTCAAAACAAGAAATATTAAATAATGTGCCTCTATGTAAGTAAGAATACTGCTACTTGATTGTACCGAAATCCCAATACAGCAAGCCAAATGTCTTTGTTGTAGGCTAAAAAATTACTCTGACTACAAAAAGAGGCATACTATTAAAATATTGACTGGAGTGTCACCTACTGGTCTCATTACTTACAAAAGTGAAGCATATGGTGGTAAACTTCAGAAATAGACATTTTTTAACAAAGTTCAATACTTGAAGTGTGTGAATCATTTCTCGATAGTAAAATGTTTAACAAAGGTTTTCTTATTGGAAACATAACAGAAGCTGAATGTATACAAATTATACAACCTCCTTTCCTCAATAAAAAAAATCAGTTCAGCCATCAAGAGGCTTTTTAATGCCAAAATTGCCAGAGCTAGAATTCACATAGAAAGAACCTATCAAAGAATAAAAGTGTTTGTCTCTCTGTATTGGTACTTATGTCCGTTTTTCTTCTATTTATATTGAGTTTTTATTATACGATACTTCTCTGTATCTAACTAACTTTTAAAATGTACTTGTAAAGCCCAGATAGCTCTAACTCGGGCCTTTGAATATAATAATATTTATGTAATTGTATTTACAATAAATACTTTATTATTTTTAATATTATTATTATAATTAATTATAATTCGTAAAATTATTATAAACGTATTTACCTTGTACCTACTTGTATTGATACTTGCGTGAAAAATGAAATGTTACTTTTTATATTTCTGTAGCTGGTCTTACAAACCTTTATAGAGCAATTCACCATTTAAATTTAAAAACAAAACAAATTTTTATACTCAAATAATTAAAAAACTTAAAACAGAACATAAGTATAATTAAAACTAAATAAAATAAACAATTCAACAAAATGTCCGACTGAGTAATGACAATGAGAACAAAATCTCAACTAGACTAAACTTTCTTTAAAACCGGTCCTGTGAAAGGTTTGTTTACCAGTGAGCACTCAAAATTGAGACAAAACACAAACATTGCATGCACTAGACAAAGAGAAAACATCTCCCAGTTCGACCCACTTTTCATCGTTTTATTTACGTATGGATAAGCAGTCTATTTAAACTATATATGTCATTGGTTTTGTTTAAAGTCGCTGGGCTCTCCAGTCAGACGAATCTGAAGATCTGAAACCTAGTTATTTTGAAAGCAAAGCAGGTACATAGAATGTGCTCTGCAGATTTATCTTTCACGCTGCAGAATCGATAGTCCAATGTTTGTTGCAGACGTATCCTTCTCATGTAGTCACCAGTTCCTCAAAAATTGATCTTTTTTACTTCATTCCCGGATCTGAGTAGAGGCAGGGTTAATTATAAACGCCTTAGAATTAGTTAATTTTGGAGTATCTCTTTAATTCGTCCAGTTTGAAATAATTTCTTTGGTAGGGCTCTCCTCAATGTCCAAGAATGGTTCTGGTGCTATGAACTCAGATTCGGTTTCACTTTTAGCAAGCATGTTGCCCTCCTCTCCGAACCCTGATAAAAGTAACTTTATTCTGGGCTCTAAGGCACTTAAGAGTTCCAAATCAGCTTTGAGTCAACTTGATTGAGGCTCAGGGCCTTAAAGGCTGCCTGGCTACCCGAAAAGATGTTTATAGTCAGCGGAGAGAAAATTAATCAACTATCTTGTTCCCAATTCTGTAAAAATCATTACTCTCGACAGGGGGAGAGTTTTCAATACTATGCAGATGATCGGGTATCATAATTAAGATAAAGTACAAAGAGGGGATTTCCAACATACTTCAACAAGACCTAAACAGGATCAAGAGGTGGTGCGAGAGGGAGCAGATATCTGTTAACTTTCGAAAAACTGTTATCGTCCCCTTTACTAAGAGAAGAAAGATCAACAAGCTTTATCAACCTACCTAAGCCGAGGAAAATATTCATCTTACTGAAATTATCTCAGATAAGAAACTCACCTGGGACCCCAATTGAAAAACCATCAACAAACCCAGATCATCATTCTGGATCTTAAAAAAGATATTCGGGTTCACACCTCAACTCTGCCGTCATAAGCAAAACCCTAGTAACTACACTCAATATAAAATGAAGATATTTGTATCAAAAGAAATTTATTAAATTTAGCATTTTGATCGGTAATACCAATGTTGAATAACAGGGTAGCAGGTTATCCACCAGAATGGTCCACAGTAAAGGTCTGTACATCCTTTGGCAAGCCTGAAAATTAATTTGTCTCCCTGCGTTGATGAAAAAATAAAGTTCCTGTTTTCAAGCATGCTTTTATTCCAATTACAGTTTGGATTATCAATTCCTTTTGTTTCAATAGAAGCGAACAGGGACTGAGGAAGGGCGTTATTGAATGCACCTTTAGGTCTAGGAAGGCTTGCAACGCAATCTCCCCATATTTTAGGGAGTAGCCAATTTTGCCTACAAGATTAAGCAGGGCATGTTAATTTTCCTGCTTAGTAGGCCTATTTGGAGGATTTTAACGGGCTTACATGAAGGTTTCTTTCTCTAATATGTCTATCTAGAATTCTCTCTTGTAAATAGAGATAACGATAGTAGTTTAGTAAGGAGGTATTTACTATACCAGTCTTGTGTACATACAGAACTTTCGCCATCATATAACCTAGCGGGATATTGCTCCACACTAGGCTTGCTCTAAACAGTCTTACTAGGAGGGGTAGCAAGGGTTACTGTTCTTTTTGCAGAAGGGCAAAAATATGCCATCCTCTCCGGGTGATTTAAAAGTGGAGAATGTATTTATCGCCTATTTCATGGCGCGTCGAAAACAAATTTGTGCAACGTAGTTCCAGTCCTTCTTCTTGGGACGTGTGATCAATTCTAGAAGAAATGGGTACAGGTTACCTATCTTGTAGAATTAGACTGCCTGGGAATTATTTCTGTAAAATGGTAACGTTGCCTTCTCCGTATAGATTTCATCGGTTCTTTTTATCGATCCGACTTTCTGTCTCGGATAATTATTAAGAATATGGTGCTTGCAGGTAAATTTGATATACTCTGACATAACTTCCTCCACGATTCCATTTTGGCCTTTCCGATGTCTTTGTTTTATTCTGTTAGGGACTTTGCTTCGCTATAATTTTAAATTTTCTTAGGTCTCTTTTCTCCTTTAGTAAGTAGTTGTAAGCATTAATAAGGGCATTTTTAATTTGATCATTCGTCGCTTTAATCTTTGAGCTGTTCTCAATAGTTTCCCTGTCCATCCTGGAGGAACTTTGTGTATCCACTCCAGTCTGTGATTTTTGGGTGACGGAGTTGGATAGTAAGTATCTGATACGTCCTTGCATCAAATCCAATGTGTTAGCGATCAGAGCATGAGAGTCCCAGTTAACAATACTGGTACTCACAAAATGCGTACTGATTGTTATGTTTAGAACCTCCACAAGATTTTTCGTCACGAAAGTTAATTCCGAGTCTACATTGTTCACAATAAGCCCTTCACCGATTATACTTCCATAGTCCCTATGGTTAACATCGGAATCAATTACGAGCTGTTTGCTGCTTCTTTTGCAATAAGCAACTGGTTCTCGCATTATTGCTGGAGGAGGTGGTTGGTCATGATCTACGTCTCCTGGGAAGTAAGCAGAGCAGACAACAACATCTTTCTTGTTGTTACCCGTCGGATTCGTGACCAGAGATGCAACCACATCAGGGAAGCAGTAACATAAAGAATTTTATATTATTTTGGATAAGAAGATATGCTATAATTTTGTCCGGAGACTAACCGCCTATCAACTTACCAGAACAGTTTCGAAGGCCACTTATACAGCCACTATTGAAAACACAGAGCTTCTGGATAAACTTCTTTCCAAGGACATATAAGGCCTCTTTGGCATGTTGCCAGTTTGCCCATTGTTAATGACTAGGAATTTCAATTACATTAGAGTAGGGTGATAAAGGTAGCACATTCTCCAATTTGTCTAAAATGATGTTGCTGGGTGGTGTTATGGTAACTTCCATTTGTTCACCGCCAATTCCCTAACGGTCGAGGGGATTGTTTCCGTCGTTTCCGTTGTTGTCTGAATGGATTTTTATTTTAAGCCCACGAGTAGCTAGGGAAAAGGTGGTCAACTACGACAGAGCCCTGCATTACCTGATATTGAATTAGATTTGAAAGTAGTTAGTGTTCTTGTTTACCGCGATCTGTTCAGATCTACCGTGAGAATTTGATTTTTATAGTATGTTGTCTAGTTTGGTTTTTAATTAGACTTAGTAACTTTGACAGTGGTTCTCGCATGTAGTTCCATGCATCTCGCTATTCTTTGCTTTATGTTAGAAATCTTAATTTATCCAAGCCTTCACACATGGCCTGGATTGATATTTCCTCTTCTTCTTTACAAAACCTGTACAACGTTGTTTCTTCTGCAAGATTAATGATACTCATCTGTCTTCTCAGGCTACAGTATCCGGTAATATGTGACGGTTTTAATCCAGTAGGTCTTTCGTGAACTTGGCCGATGATTCCTTTATGACGTGTTTAGCCTGTCTTAATCTTGTATAGTTGTTCCGCTCACGGTACGCTTACGATCTTTGACCGCAGTCTTTCTCCGTGCTGATATTTTGATCGAACCGTGAGTGAACCTTTACGTTAGTATGTACAAGCAACAAATAAATGACATTTGTTTTTTCTATTCTTGTGTTGAGTGTAACATGTGAATACTACATTGATTGTGAGCGGATCGTGATTGTAGTGTGACCTGAGCACCTAGTGAGGATCGGCCTTTATTCAAGGTTTGTGAGATGTTTTGTTTGAGGAAAATTGTATTTCCGTTAATCTTTTTACAGAGGCGCGTTATGTTCTGATACCAAAAACAAAACCCTTACATTCTTAAAGACTACGAAGGCAAGTTTAAGATATAATTACAGTTTTATTCAGGAGCGCATTATATGCGACACATAAAGAACACGTTGTAACAACCAGTTTGCCTAAAGACCATTTGTAACTACTGATAGGTCTTTAGCTACTGTTGTTAATATATTATTAAGGGATTAGGCAGCGCTTGTCACCAGCCCTAGGGTCCTGGAGTCCTGAAGGAACATCCATTCGCCAGTGGCAAAATAAAATAATAAAAGAAAATAATAAAAATACAAAAAAAAACATCCCTTAATAGCATATGTCGAGCGGTTTTGGCAACTGACTTAAGACTCTCAAGTCCTTAAGGGTAGGAACGCCGAGGCTTAACATGCTCGGAATATTTCTTACTTGGAAAGAGGTGAGAATAAAATAGGTTAATGAACAATAACATGTATATTTAAATATAAGTAAAAAAATGATTAACAATTTCAATAAATCAAAACAATCTCTATTTTTGAAATAAGACATAGCAAAAATTACTACCCACAATTGTAAATCTTTCTTATGACAAACCATGCTAATATAATATAATCTATGATGAAACTTTGATATAATGAAACCTTTTACATCACAAAAACATTTTAATATAAAAAAACTCTTTATATGATAAAACCCTTAAAACTGATAAACATTTAATGAGTAAACTTGGGACGAAAATGAAAGAATTGGCATTTGAAGAAAGACTAATGAACTGTTTTAAAATACATAACCCAAACAAGAGATTTAAACATGTTAAAATAAAATAGATATTACCTTTGAAAACAAAACACTACAACACACTTTACTATATATAATAGATATTAATACATTTTTGGGCATAGGTTTGGCCCAACGGCCGCCCCTTGAGTCCTTTTTGTGTCAACGATTGACTCTCAATTTATATCAACCTTAACGTGATTATTTTAAAAGAAACTCGACTTATTTATTTTTAATGATTATTCGCACGATTTGTCCTGTAATTTTTTAGTACAATGAACTATTTCTAATTGTTTGGTTTTATTAAATATGTTGTGTTAATTTAATAGATATTAAAAATATTAGATATTTTTGGGATGTTTGTTAAATTCTTTATATTTTAAAAATAATAGTGCCAATTATTACAACGTCATATTATGACAATATTACAAAAAATGCGTTTCCATTACAAGTTTTTTTTCTTACGACGTATGGAATATATCAACAATATTTTAACTGGGTATACTGGTAATGCGCTTCATTTAAGTAGCTCTTCGCTACTTGAATGGGACATTTTTAGGCAAATTGGAAGTCATATTTCTGTATCAAAAATAGGATAACTGGAAAAGTACCTTCCAAGTATTGAGCCAAGTCTAAACTTTCCTATTAGTTTACAAATCGCCTACTGGGGTAGCAATTTAAAATAATTATAAGAGTTTATTACTCTCTTTGTCTTTTTGAAATAAACTGTACATGTTTTTAAAGATGGTATTTTTACTTACCTGAACCACACATAACAACTCATCTGAACAGGCAAAAATGCTGTTCATAGAAATTATTAGAGGTAGAACGAAAACACGAAGACGAAGCATGACCTATACACTGAAAAAACTGTCTTTTCTTTTTTGAAATTATTTAAATTTTATCAGCCAAACAGATCGTTTTTTATTCAAAATTGTTTATTTTTAATTCAAATTTCAGCAAGAGTAACTTGTTACTAGGTAATATATATGTATAGTGGATGATAAAATGATAATAAATATATAAAAAATTTAAAAATATCATAAAAGCAATGATACAATGCAATTTTTTTATTACCTAATAAAACTTTATTTAAAATATTGATTAATGACTTCCTGCTTTATGGTATAGGTTTTATTAATATTTATGTTAAAAAAAAAGGAATTTCCAGTGAGATTCAACTTAATAAATTAATTTATAATAAATATTTTAATACTGTTAAATTGACCATCAATGCTTTACATTTTCTATTTATTTGTTCATTTATTGGAAAACCTTTACACTTACATATCCCTTGATGAAACGCAGTTAAAACAAAGAACAGCAAATTTAATACAGAAGATTTTTTTTTGAAAATCCTTTTAAAAATTATCAAAATAAATACTTTTTAAAGGTTTATAAAAAAATTAAGGTTTCTTCAGCCTAAGTTTTATTATTATTGGTATTTCCTAAAAATTTTACAAAAATCGGATTAAAGGCTTAGAATAAATTGTCGAGGTGTTCTCTTAAGATAACACTATTGCTCAGAGACCATTTTATGTTTAGGTTTAAGAATCTGGAGTATGTTGTAATGGTTGGAACCGTTATTTCGTTATTTCAGACACAATTACCTCTCACCTATACTTTGTGTCAGAGGAAGTGATTTTTTTTTCTTCTGACAGACAGCGACGAATAGATCACTTCTATTTTAATTTTATTTCGGTCATCCGAAATATTAATTTATATGTATTTATATTAATGACCTGATTTTATAAGCCTATGGCAATCTCTCGGGTTCGAATACAAATAAGAATCATTTATCATTCACGGTTCAATCACGAATAGGAGTCACGAATAAGAGTTATGAATAAGAATTTCGAATCACTTGGTTGAAGTTGCCTGACCGGTATATAATGTTTAGGGATTGATGTGCCTCTGCAGTTTGGGGCGAAGGAAGAAATACCCAATGTTTACCTTTAACTTACCATACCGTATATTATCTATTATCTTATTTACCACACAGATAAGTGCAATTGATCTAATCAACTTGAATTTGAATTATGTGCAAACTTATGTGAATTAGAATTTGATACTTACCTTATCTAAAGCATTTTTAAAGTATAAATTGTTAGTGATTTTCTATATTTTTATCACTTATGTAGAGTTAAGTGTATAAGCTTTAAATATAGTGGTGCCCAACTTCTTTTTCTAAGTTATTAGAGTTATTTAAAAACCTAACCCACGCCCTATAAATTGAGCTCAAACACATATATCAATGTAGATAAACTAACCAGCTATTCATGTTACAATGTTCCACATCCTGATCCATGTTTTAGAATAATCTGTGTGGATATGAATCATACTTACCACTTCCCGTTTTTCTATTTGTTTTTTATAATTTTATATAATTATATAGTGAGATGGGAGATAAAATAGCAAAAAGAAAATTTGAATTGCTTACAAAAACGTCGCGAAAAAACGGCTAAACGTATTATAGTTATCCATGATTGAACTGGTAATGGGTTTCTTGAAGATATAGGATTATTATTTTCCACTATAAAGGTTCTGTGCATATGAAATCTTTTAAAAAATGTCTATGTGACAAGTTAATATCAATGCTGCAGGAACTATCACTTATCATCATCATCATCATACCGCAATTTTATAACAAAAAGTACAACAAGCTTGGTAGACTAAATCGAAATTAGAAGTGAAAAATACGTAGTTAAAGAACAAATTTTGACACATATACTTTTAAGGTTTGTTCCAACACGCACGAAAACCGTAATATTGCCGTACAGATCATGTGTTTTACCCAAAAATTGTATAAAGCGCATAATTTGTACGGTAATATTACGGTTTTTGCGCGTGTTGAAACAGACCTTTAGAATAGACCTTTGTCGTTTGAATAAGTCATAAATACTAGACATTTAATAAGCCGTGTAGTGACCAACAGAAAAAACGATCAAGCAAGGACGAGTGAGCATTTTTCATTCATAATAGTGGTACTCACAGCATATATTTCTGTGTAATTTTTTAATAATTCACGTAAACTTTCTGCTGTAGAGCTAGATCTGATTCTAAATAAAAAACCTTCTTTTTTGCTCCGCTACTGTTTTGTCATTGTGTTTTAGCTGGAATTACATTTCACTAAAATTTCTTATCTAATGTATATATTCATCCGGAGATCCGGTGGAAGGTTTGTTCGAGACGAAATTGAATTTCCTTTAAAGGAACTGATTATCTCGAAAGGTAGGCTTGACCATTTATCGATGTTTTATTCATCAGAAAGTAGAGGAATTGCTTTCTATTTTTGTAGGTTTCAGGACAGTATCTCGTATAAGGAATGTAATAGAAACATGTGTTTTTTAACTCTTTATTATTTGTAAATGGGAAAACATACCTATATTATATTCCCTCCTTGTTATTACACTCAAGTGAATAATCTAGAGAAAAAAAAATATTATATACATCATTATTTTATTTTATATTATTATTAGATTAACCTTTGTGTTCAACTAGATTAGATCCCATTTATTCATTAATATTTTCTCTGTTGTTTTTATTTATCCAAAATTGCATTGTTGGTCACGTCCTGTAGGTGGGGATTTATGATTTACTTATATTTTTTCATTACTTCTATTTTTCAAATTGTCATATTTTAGCGTTAGATTCCCTGCAATTATTTATTTTAATTGATATAATACTGCTTGTGTGGATTTAGTGGCGGCATTCGCAACATGTATGAACCCTACATTTGAACATCAACCGAAGCTAATACTGGTGGACTGTAATTTTTACTTAATACCTCATGTACTGATTTTAAGGCTCTGATGATAATTGCAGCTTTTTGTTAACTGCTGAAGAAAGTGACACACACACACTTTGATTATTTGTATATTTACAGAGCATTTGTGATTATGTGAATTCATCTCAATATTGCTCACTACATGATTTGTATTAATTACCCACTGCTGGTATGTGCCGGCAAGTAGGTTACAAAAGAATGTAATAGACTAAACTACAGTGAAACCTGTGTAAAACGGAATCGCATGGTCGTGCACCGATTTTCCGGCATATACAGGATTCCGCGTTACACAGGGTAGATAAAAAATTGCACATAGTAGATTTAAAAAAGTGATAATTTTATTAAAAAAAAATCTAATATACGTACATTTAATATATAGTTGTTATTATTACTATGTACATACATATTTTTATTTATTATTAGAAACAATATAAATTATTATTTATTCCACATTTCTATCAATGTAAGTTGTTTTTTATTCTTTTGTAATACGTAAAATGATTCCATGAATGTCCTTAATTCTAAAATCTTCTTTCTCATCGGTTCGCTCTCTATTCTTTGGGAAAAATCCTCTAACGCTGCAACACTCCTCAAAGCTTCAGAAAAAATTTTTATCCGATCGGATTCTTCAACTTCTGTTCCTGTAGATAAAAATAATAATTTAAGAACAGCTAACGTTTTGAAAAGCTAATGGGAAAATAATTTTTTCTATTTGTTATTTTTGTGATGGTAACTGAAATCTTCCTATCTTATTGTTATTATGTATTTTAACTTTATTTCTACTTGGCCAAATGCCCAATTAAGATGGAAAGAATAAATAAAAAGTTGCTTATTTTTTTAGAGAATTAGAAAAATCGCTTACCAATTCCAATCCCATCATTATCGTCTGCCACAGTAGTTTCCACGGCAGTTTTTTCTAACACCAGTTCTTCTATGGACTGAAATCCAGCATTTGTTGTAACGGCTTCATCTAATGTGATGTAATCATGAACATTACAACCTGGATTAATTTCAGTAATTAACTCTTCGACTTCTTTTGTACTTTCGTCAATTTCGTCAACATTTTCGATTAGGTCAACGTCTCCATCTTGCTTGATTCCACATGCCGCAAAACATTTTTTAACACAATCAGGTTTAATATTTTTTACTGAATAATCAATCCATCTGATAGCATCCAAAACTGATATTTTTTTAGCCAAATCTCCTGCTGATTGAGAGAATCTCATGTTCGCAATAATTGACCGCAGCACTTGTTTTCTGTAATGCATTTTGAAGTTTTGTATAACTCCATGATCAAGAGGCTGTGTTTGACTTGTGGTGTTTGGTGGTAGAAAACACAATTTTATATTGTATAGTATTATTTTGGGGTGACACGTTGCATTATCCAAAAATAGAAGGATGTGTCGATTTTCAAATTTCATTTTTTGATTTAAAATTTTTAGCCACTGTTCCATAAGAACTGATGTCATCCATGCTTTTTTATTTGCTCGCCAATAATCTGGTAGCTGAGGCACATTGGTATTGTTAGAACATCGCGGTCTGAGGGATTTTCCAATAACTAGAGGTTTTTCTATTTTTCCGTCAGCAAAGGCGCAAAACAAAACGGTTAACCTTTCTTTAGATTGTTTGCCTCCTTGACATTTTTTACCTTTAAAGCACATTGTCTTGTCCGGCAGCGCTCTATAAAAAAGGCCAGTTTCGTCACAATTAGCAATGTCTTTTAGGGTATATCCTTTAATTAAATCTGTAATGTGCGATGTCCATTCAGTCACAGATTCCATGTCGACGTCCTTAGCTTCACCGCAGATCTGATTAAATCTTATGTTATGTCGTGTTCGAAAACTTTCCAGCCATCCATTCGAAGCTTTAAAATCTACTTTTCCAAAATGGTTTGCAATTTCTCTTGCTTTTTCTTGAATAATTGTTCCAGATACAGGAAGATTGCGAGACCTTGCATCCATAAACCATTCCAAAACTGTTGAATTTACGTCGTCGTGATGTGATTCCTTTGGCTTTCTCTTAATATCGCCATTACCACCACGCATCCACTCTTCTTTAATTTTTTCCTTGTTTTTCAAAATTTTATACACTTGCGTTTTTCCGCACTTAAATTGAATAACCAATTGCTTTGGAGTAAGTTTTTTTTTGGTCACTACATTTAATTAAGTCCATTTTAG